CTATTTCACATCCTTCACATAAAGGTTTGCACAATTCCACACCAACATTCCTCCGAGGCGCTCATATCCTTGTACGACTCTCAGCAAAACGTTATAAAGCAATTGCAATTAAGTTGTGTGAACACCAACCGGTACTTTATGGTACTAATTGTCCCCGTAATGAATAGTATGATAGCCTTGGTGTAATCACTGTTTGTGTAGATATAATAGAGTAGGCGCGCGGTTCCCATGGAGGATCTGATATGGACAGGAAGTGGCTAGGAGCTACAAGCGATGGCGTGTTAGAGGTGATATACCATCAGGTGTTCCTCGCCAGATCCTGCTTCAGTATTCCTGCAGTGCTGGAGGATATTCTGAGCCTACACCTCATAGCTGCAAGCTATAAGCCGAGAAAAATTAAAATTTAGGTTTTTCAGCCTTGGAACATTGTTGGTTTTGCTCAAGGGAATTTAGAAGTAAATAGAATATATATGTATGGCCGTAGCCTGTTTTCGTATGGTTTCAAATTCCCAAGGTAAAGAACTAAGGGAAATCTATGCAGACTGAAACATAATAGCCAAAATAAAAAAAATAGTAGACTGAGGTGGTCTGGTCCTGTGAAGCAAAGACAAGAAGATTCGGTGTAAAAAATGGTGTATGGTAATCTTCCTCGGGGAAGACGACCTCGGCTAAAATGATAGGACCATGTGTGAAGAGACATAGGAAAGTTTAGAGCAGAGACGGGGTGGATGAAAGACAGAGAAAGGTGACGACTTGTTAGTGAGTCCAAAAGCCTACTGTGATTTGAGTAGCTGCGTAGAGAACGTTTGAAGAATGATCTGAGAGTTACAAGTATTGGTGTATAGATAGAGTTAAGCTACAACGCGTAAATAATGAAATTGCAGTGAAAGGTCTTTGACATAAATTACGATTTCTCATAAGGAAACTTTCAGTATCTACCATATTGCATTAGGCATATCCAAATTCTGTTTGAGGACCCAAAACACCCTACGATTTTCTTAACGTATCATCATACACCGTAATGTTAATTCTACAACACTGATCCACCTCAGTCTACATTCTCCCATGATACTGGATCAACCACAATTCCACTCTAAATACACAAATTACGCATGTCCGTTACACCGTTTCACCCATCACGCAATGCCCAGCCTATCCACCTGTTACACCAACCTTCTCACAAATCAATCGGCGACCTAGCCAACTGTGACCGTTGTCTTGACAATGGGAGATCAAATTCGGAAATGTGACACACATTAGGTTTCCGGAGGCGCGGCGTGACTTGGCGTGACAGATGCGTCGTTTATGCTCGACGCCGCGACGCGTGACGACACTGGTTATATAGGCGCTGATCTAGACACAACACGCCCTGGGAGGTGGTGCTCCTTACGTGATGGTTGGCTGGGTTTAATATACAGGTGGAGAATTGGGTTAAGGTTGTTGACATGTTTGAATTCAGCAAACAAAAGAAGTATAGCATCGAATGGTCTGTGGGAGATGAGCGGGTGGTCAATTTGGCGATGATATTGGTCACCTTTGCTAAATCTCCCGAAGACCAAGACTAGAGGGAGTACTTTGTTCGTGGAAGTATACCATCAAGAAAAGAACTATACCCTAGCATCTGACATGTGTACAGTATTATCCAATTACCTTACCTTACTTAGCTGGCCACTCAAATCTAAGCAGGTTTTTGGCCTCTCCAACAGCTCTGTGCCATCTTTCTCGGTCCCTCATCATCTCCTCTGTAACGGAAATAATTCTTCTCATATTCCTTCTGACTTGGTCCCACCATCGCAGCCTTAGGCGCCCTAAAGGTCTTTCTACAGGTGCAGCATCCGTCACTGTTCTCAAGACTGACTCTTCAGGTCTCCTGTAGACATGTCCTGCCAATGATAAAATATAGTAAAAATACATATACATATACATATACACATACCAATAATAATACATGTAGTAGTATTATCCAATTAATATTCACAAAAGTTCTTACTCATGAAAATCTTAGCTACGAAATAGTTGGAATTGGTAAAATGAAAGTACAATATCCGACGCTTTCAAAAGATTGGACTAGGTTTTGTATCAAAGTGTTAAGCAACTGTACTTTATAATGAATTAGCCTCTGGATCACTTGAATTAGCTATGACTATCAAAACGACCCCGTTTTGACCTGAGATTTAGCACGGGATCATTATGACACAGGTAATGTAAACCTCTATTAGTTAATTTATAAGTGTACTTAACATCTTAAATTTTTTTCTCTTACCAACGTAAATAAGGACTTCTCCTGTGAAATTTCCTTTTCTTCAGTACTGCACCATTATCCAAGATAGATCATCTATTTTTTGTAATCCACTTTACTCTTTGGGTTCATGAACATTCAAGTTAATAAACCCATTCGGATATAGCCATCTAAAATATTTTGCATCAGTTTGAATGGAATATCTTTTGCTAAATTTTATCAAATTCCCATACAAGAATTCTATCACCGATGAAAGGTGTACAAGATCTTTTACCGCTCTACCTTTCCTGTTTGAAACTGCATTACACTTGGATTCAGATTTTTACAAATATTTACAACACCCATTTCCACTACATCCATTCCATATTTGACTTACGAAACAATAAAAACACACCACAAGGCGCCATCCAAGCGCTCCGGGGTGTGTTCAAAATTGAATTAACACCGCGATAAATTAACAGCGGCTAATGGAGTCATTTTTATAAATGATGTCGATCAGATTCAATATGTTAAAATCACAACAGGAGCTGTTGTACCATAACTCAGGGCTAATGCCGTGTGGCTCACGCGAGGCAGCCATTACCCCTGTTAGAAGCTGAGCCACAGTAATGTCTCGTAATGACGGGCATGCGCCCGACAACATGAGCCACGTACCTTCAATTGGCCCACGAATTGCTTTATTCCTGATAGTCACCATCTAGCCGTTTGTCAAATATTATTTACGGATAATGATACACTTGCCAGGGAGCAGGCAACGCTGTGTTACTGGAATGGTTCTGTACACTAGTTATAGAGGGAGATTGAATTGGGACCTGTGTATGAGTTCTCTGAAGAATCTTTGTCGTAATTCAGCTTTACAGATTGTATCAGAATCATTGTGTAATAGATGTATTGGGTGAATGCAAGAGCTACTGAACCAACTAAGCCGAAATTTCACACAAATGTTTATTACTATCTTTAGGATTGTCTTAGGTAACGTCTTGTGGAAGTTTCTAGTTGGATCTTTTGAAACTAAATATTGTTTGGAAATCGGTATTATTTTAGTACAATAGTGCATCTTTTAAGATTTTATATTTCACTTGTTAATAAAGTTATGATCCTTGTCCTGCTGAACAAATGATTTAATTAAGTAATTTATTTTGAAAATTAAAAAGTGTTTTTGTTTTTATAACCAATGGTGTTACTTTCTTCTACAGTACTTACAACTTTAATCTATTTTGCGTTATGTCCAAATCGTGAATACGTGTAGGGCCTATCTATCAAGTAACCAAGTTTGAATGCTGTGTGTGGCATAACCATAACTCTCTTCGGCGAGATCTAACATCACAAAACTATATAGATATTTACGTTTTTACACAAAGTAATTAGCTTTAGTACATTAAACGCAATGGACAATAAACAGCTCCAGAGTTAAAACCAAACCTGAGACGGTTTCACCGATGTATTTTTGCCCATAAACAAGTATCCACTCCCGGAGAGGAAGTCACGGTCGGGAGTTATTAGCTGACGCCGGAAACGTGTAAGGAACGACGGGAACCGATCTCGCGCATCGACGGCAGTAAGTCATCGAACACGAGAAAAATCGTGTTGGCCGACAAACCTTCGGCTCAATCGGAATTTCAAATAAAGACTGGTGAAAAATAACGGGCAGAGGCGTAATTAATCGGCGGGAACGACTGGGAGCCGGTGAGATATCGTCGGGGAACATGCGATCATCGCAACCGCGCCAGCTACTGGACTAGGCGCCGGCTAGTGGGCGCGGTGGTGAGATTTATACATGGAGAAGGTAATTTATGTGAGTAATGTCAATGAAAAAACACATGTTACCGATTGATCGATGGATGTATTTCCTTCGTGGGAATTCCAATAAAATATTAACGTGGTGTTTCAAAAGGGCTTAAGAATTGAACAACCTCTCCTGCCATAGACAGTTTGGATTTAACGTACACAAATGTAACCAATCATATTGTTGTCGAGTTCAAATTTACTTTTCCGAACCGTACACTTTATTTATTTGTTGGAATAATACATTTTCACCCAAACACCCCTAACAAGTCAATCACGCGCAACATTCTCCACATACTGGGCGACGCCCGGGATTCAGACACCCAATTACAGAGGACAAAGGCACCCAAAAATGGTCGGTAACGGCTCGGACAGGCGCTCTAAACCGGGGCAGAATGCATAATAAAAAGCCCGATGGACGATTTGGCAGATTCCGGCCCGCATCTTCGCTGCGTGCCTGACGGCCGGCAAAAACCCAGTAATGCCTTCGCCGTGCTGTATTCCACCCGGGACTTTTTGTCGCCTTCAATTACGGAATAATTTTAAGACGGCTTTTTCGGCTTTCATCGGGTTTTTGTTATAATTTGGTCACCGGCCGGGTGACACCTTGATGATTCGGAAGCTGGAGACTTGAGGTGAAGATGTCAACTTGAGTTTTAGTTTTGGCAGTGCACTTGGGGGGAATGTGTAAATCTTTGAACAAAGCTTTGAACTCTTAGTAAGCTAGTCAAGAAAAATAATGAAATTACATTCAAGGTCCCCTGGTTGCAGCCGAACCTTTATAATGTGTGCTCATGACTCTCTTTACAACGCTATCATTACAACTGAACATAATTTGGAGATCGAATGAACATTTCTCTCTCACTTTACAGTTTCAATAAATGTACATCGACAAGCCATTCTTATTCATTGAATTGATTTATATCCTAAGCACACTATGCATTATTGTTACAACTAACGCTTATTTCTGTTTCAGGAGAAGCCCCACAAATGCGGTTTGTGCTCCAAGTCATTCCCGACGCCGGGCGACCTCAAGTCACACATGTACGTCCACAACGGCTCCTGGCCCTTCAAGTGTCACATCTGCAACAGGGGCTTCAGCAAGCACACCAACCTCAAGAACCACCTCTTCCTGCACACAGGTAGGCCTCTCCTAGAATATACGTTATAATCAAGATATTCAATTCCTAAAGAAGGGTCTGCTGTTGAATGTATCGTGAAAATATTCCATATTCCCATGTGAATTAGACTTCCACCGTGAAATTACCATAGCTACAATAAAAACTCGATGCAATGGCCAATTCATTATTCAAATAAGTAGCCTTGAGAATATTAAGACTATTAAAAACTCGGTTAAACTGTATTAAAAACAAACTTTACCTCTATTAGGAGGATTATAAATGTATTCAGGCGTTTACGTAATTTAGTAGCAGTCCCCTGTTCAAAACGTCGTTTACGATAAACCGTGATTTAATATAGTCGAGGACCGTACGCCGAGGATCAGCGATCGGTAAATGAACGCGTTTAAATTTAGTAAATTGTTTTCTGATAATGGGAGAGCGGATGTTAGCATATAGATAGGGACGATTTGCCGCCATAATAGATGCATCAGAAGTATGTAAATGGGCCGGCAGTAAATAAGCGCTGACGACACGGCTGCGGGCTAGACGCGATTTTTACTCTTTGTCCGAGTTTAAGAAACAGTTTGTACCCTGACCGGTAGCCGTGCATACATTAGGTGGTAATATACAGTAAGCGCTGGGCCCACGCGCGTGCCCGCTGCTCTTATTTACGGGGTAATAACAGCCTAGAACCCCTACCGCACTGAGACCAATGGTAATGACTGTAGTTGATCACATGACATCACGGGGTTGATGCACCGATATACTTGCAAAGGTCTCTTGCTGCCTGGAGAAGCTAGGAGAGTCTAGGGTAGGGCAATCGTAGTTCAAGAGGTAGCAGAGAATGTCGTTACGGAGGAGTGCCCAAGAGCTTGGCAACATGGGTTTGAAAAGACAATGCTATTCTTAAGAAGTTTTAGAATTTGGGATAGGTTGATCGAACTGTAGGGGTTTCTTCAGTATTATCAGACAGCATAATAGTGGAGCGATGGCAAAGAAAGGGATCTTACTAATGTTATTTCCATGTAAGCTTAGTAATTCCTCATTGAAGCGGATTGGAGAACAAGCCATTGCCATCATAAGCTGAAAGGGAGATACAGCAGTTACACATTCTTCGGTCAGCCAAATATTAATATAATCTTGCTCCATAACCTGTTAGACAAATCTTTAACTATTCTCAACGCTGCTTTAAAACACTTTTGTAATGACTGATGATTTACAACAAAAAAATCCCTAATGTTTGGTTTGTACTTCATATTCTGACTTTGAACAAAGTAAATTTTTTCAATACATTCCAATTAGAAAAACCCCTATTTTGGAATAATATAAACACTGTAGAGCACCCTCTGATGCGATGGTTACCTTCTTATATCTTTTATCCATCAAACGATTAAACATCCCCACATTTCGTGCACTGGAGCGATCACCTCAGTCTACAAGCATTTAATTCGTAAACCCCGACTTATTACCTAAAGCAGCGTTTACCCGAGCCACAAATCAACCCAGCCATTACAGTCAGTCGAGGCTTAGCCGCGTAATTTCACGGGCAGTTTGGTCCACGGTAAGTCCGTGAGTTATGGGCAACTCGGAGCCGCGCTGGGCCAAATTCGAGTCCAGAGCGGCCGCGGGCCCGTCATTATATTACAATTAACTTATCAGATGCAGCCCATTACCGGCCGTCCCGTCAATGGCGCTGGTTCACAGTTAACGTGTCATTTCTCGATGCTATCGCTCAAATCATCCAGCTTCCCCTGTCTCCTAATTTTTAATCGGCGCAGTTTTTACGCTGATGACTGTAATACAGTAAGTCCGCTAATGGTGGCTGAAGTGCTTGTCATGCTGTAAGCAGTGTATTGATCGGTGGCTTCATCATGTCCCTTCTTTCAATTATACTGACGGTTGGAGATGGTGTGAGGTTTTGAATACGGAATTAATTGGTTGAACGAACTTGAAGTCTGGATCACTCCAAAATTTAAAAGATGTGACATGAATTTTTCCAGCTGCTGAGAATTAATGTGGTACAGCTGTAATAATTGCAGTAGACACTGGAGTATCCCATTTCTTCATCAATTTACTTAATTACATCAATGCAACAAACACTTAAACGCTCCTGGAAAATTTTGGAACTCCACAATTGAATCCAACTATTGTAACACCGACTGTCAGCGATCATAGACAATAGCTCTCTCTACATGCCATTCTCTTCCACGGGTAATAACTCAAATTGGTCAACAGGGGACAAACCAAAGTCAATAGTGATTGTTTCGAAACGTCAACAATACGCGGTAATGTGGCATTGTCGATATTACAACAATTAACTCTACAATGAGGGCAAGAGATGAAGCAGTAAATGCATTAAAGATGAGCGTGGCCTCGCGGCTGAATGAATGAGGTAACATCACAACTGCGCTTGCGCTGTACTCCGCGTCTGCGCTGTGACTCTGACTGTGTCTGCGCCGGGATTGACGGATTGGACGAGTGATTGGACGGGTCGACTCAAGTAATTGCCCTAATGTCCAATGACATATCGTGGACGTCTTTATTTAGATCCTGTCAGATATTCAGAGATCCCGTGGAAGAAGAATTGTATTTTATACAGTAGTAGGGCAGTATTCATTTGTTTTGAAGTATATTTTGATCGGTAGGGACGTTTATATGTATCTATGAACTGTTCATAAAGTATTGCAGCATCCTGTTCTCAAATATTCTGATATAGTTTAACACTGCTCACGTTACCGAGTAAATTGTTTGGAGACCCCAACGCACGGTTGGACCGATGGCGTGGTCTCTGCGAATTGCCTCTCTTATTAGTTACCGGTAAAAGACACACAACGATCAAGTTCTTTATGATAAATAGTTATCGGAATTTTATTTTACCTTGATTGATTACAAATACAATTATATCATACAAATTGTATCAATAACTAATTACAACGATTAAGAACTATTCCTTACAATTTAACACAATACTTGTATTGTGGGAATATCAGAGTAAAATTATTAAACAGCTCCCTGGTAACGATACTCTTAGAAAATCGGACGATGGAAACCAATTCTGCCTCACAAAGACATTCCACGGAGCCAAATAAGCATGCGACATTCACGAACCTGTGCGAAAACGGTGCATAATTACTTTCCAAACCACCTTTCAACTCATTGAGTCGTGAACGACCGTAGAGATGAGTGCAGCTCAGTTGATTGAACATTGAAGCGCGGAATGGATTACAGAGACTTTGACGCGCAGAACCAATTACACAGGTAAACAAGTGACGGCGCGCCGTGTGAACCTGTATAAGGCAGTGTGACACGGCCTGGTGAGTTGTGCTTTAATTGGGTCCGCAGGTTTTGGCATGTTGCTGAGAGCTTGAGGGATTGGCTTCTTTGATAGATTGTAGGACCGTATTTTACAAGAAAGCATACACTTTATGTAGATTGATAGTGTATCTTGACCTGGTGTTTTAGAGCCTACTAGGGAATGAAAGGGTCAAGCAAAATGATGCATTTGATGATTTGAAGGATTTTGAAGCATATCTTTGCCTGGTCGAATGTTATGTAATTTCCTTAAAATATGGGTTGATGAACTGTCATGAAGCTACATATACAAACAAGCCATCATGTTACTATGTTTCGATTCGAAGTCAATTGTCTTCCTTCCTTTGAGATGTCATATTCTTAATGAAATCGGAAGATTCTAATTCAAACCCCCCAAAAGCGGTACAATTTACCTCTGTTTTTTTATACATTTCCAAAAAATCATCAAATTTCTCATGGTTTTCATCTGAGGAAGTTTTTTCCTCGTACCAAAGAACTCAACTTTAACTGATCAATATTATATCAACCCAACCAGTCCACACTCGAAACTTTTAAACTTTCCAGCAATCCAGTTATTCTTACTTTTCCCCACAACGTCCATTCTTCAATCCAAAACCTACAATGTTGGCCAGTACCGTCTCCACTCGCATGGAACGTCAGCTCACGTTAAGCTCCGGTAAAATGTGACGATTTACAAACTGGACGATCACCAGCGAAGGTATAAATAACTCCGGGTCAAAGGTCAGGGGGAGGGTCGGGCTGTATTTCACGACAACATCTCTATTAGACGATGATACGTGAGTGGTCGCGGCTTAGCAGCATTGTGCCCGTATTTATGGGGTTTGGGGCCCGTTGCTGAGCTCGTACCACCTGCCTCCATCGTACCTCCAAGACTTGTGGTTGTGGCCAGAGTGTGCGGGTTACTACAAGGTTAACTAGAAGAACATATTTATACGGGCTGTACTGATGTCAGTCAAGCAATCCTTTCACGTATGAAAGAAATGTTCATATTTTCCTGAAAAAGCTACATAAACCCTGAGACGCGTTATGCTTATAACTTAAGAGAATAGTAGGGCTAGGATCTCACCATAACTTCATTTGCTGACGTACAAGACATTTCAGTAATAAAATATTACAAATTTGAATCGTCATAGGACACAAACGTAGTTGTTACACAAACTCTCCTTATCCCTTAAATCCTCCTTCCGTTCAAAACCTTATATTTGGAATCATGCTCATGGAAAGAGTCATTAAATGTTACAATTAAAATAATATGAAGACAATAACGAGTTTGATATGAATCAACTGACACTTAAAATCCATGATTCGAAATTGTAAGAAAGAGATTCATCGAAGTGATTGTTTTGAAATGATTCATGCTGCTAATTTCTATACACGTATAGTGAAATACCTGTTAGTTTTTTTTCAATTTCCCGCCATTTCCACGTCATAACTCGTCATAACTCGTACATGTGATCGGTTACCCTCCAATTGTTCAGACCATTAAAGACGCCCCAGGCTGAGTCATGTGACCAGCTTCTCCTTGTTACACATACAAGCCTTCATGTTTATATAAGCATGCAATTTTCTGTTGAGTAAATACCAACCGTGCGGAAGGAGTGTGAGTTGATTACAATTCTAACGATTTATTCTAGAACAATACAGAAAAACATTGATGTACATTGATTACTAGAATAGAACTACTTATT